CATAACACAGTTGCAACATTATAACAGGAGTAAATGTTAACTGCATGCATTGCACATAAGGGGTGGGTAGACTAATAATAAATAAAAAAAATTAAAAAATACCCATTTTAATATAACAAGTAAAATTAAAATAACCAGTACTTAGTCCTATTAATCAGATAAAAAGAGCCTTACTTTAACTTTCTTTTTCAATAAAGAAGAGCCACTTTTGGAATTAAGTACATTAACAAGAAAGTCAACAAACTCTAAACACTAAACCCAAAAATATTAAAGATATATTTCAAAGAAAGTTCAGGAGCAAAGGACTGCCCCTGCTGTTTTTACATGTTATCCATTTGATCTTAGTATTGTGTTTAAGGTTCTCAATTTTAAGCACAAATCATTTACTATCCATGTGAGTAGGAGACTCAAACATAAAAAAAATGGATCAAATAGCTCCAATGTATGCTACTTTAGTTAGTGGTGGTTGTAAAATATTGGATCAAATTTAGTTTGATTATATTTTTCCTGATTTTGATCATTATCTTGGGGAACAGTGGAAGAGGCTTGAACCCAGCCCTCACAGTCCTCATTCGCCACTGCTTGTACGTTTCAGGCCTCACAATCCTCTCTTCCCCCTCACGTGCAATCATATTCAATGACTCACGCCCATAAATTTTTTGCTCAAAGAGAAGCCTGTGCTCATCATCACGGGTAATACATTATCAAAAATATCAAAAATCGCAGAGTAATAAAAGAGAGCTTCTCGGAACCGATTGACAAAGAATGGAGTGCTATAAGACATTAAGACCCATTAACAACATTACAACACTAAGCACAAAAATACTTGGATTCAGCTTACAGATTAGCTTGAGTACTGCATCATAGGGCTGAGCGCGGATCTGGGAATTCCCGTTCCGTACCGAAGAACCGTCCCGAACCGTTCCAGAACCGATAGAACCGGAAAAATGTAATACCGTACCGTACTGTACCGAGTTTTTTTTAATAATATGGTACGGTACTGGTTCTTAGTGAGAACCGTACCGGAACCGTCCCGGAACCGTACCGAACCGAACCGTCTTGTACCGTCCCGAATTGTCCCGAAAACTAGTGTTATAATATAATAATGGGAAAAGGGGCAAATAAGCCCTCAAACTAATAAAAAAATGCAAATAAGCCCTTTTATAGGAGGTTCCGTCTGGCCATCGTAATTTGGGGAGGTTCCCGGTGGAATTTCTTGATGAAAATTCTTGAGCATCTTATTCATTAAGTCTAGTTTAGTCATACCGAATTTCAGCTAAAAATTCAATCGGGAATACAGTCAAATGAATTTTTGAAGATAACTGTGTAGTTAAACAACACAGTATATTTTCGAAAAATCATTTGAGTGCCTTCCCGGTTTAATTTTTAGCTGAAATTTGGTGGCTAAACTAGACTTGATGAAGAAGATGCTCAAAAAAATTCATCAAAGAATTCCACTGAGAACCTCCCCAAATGACGATGATCAGTCAGAACCTCCTACAAAAGGGCTTATTTGCACTTTTTTGATTAGTTCGAGGGCTTATTTGCCCCTTTTCCCTATAATAATAATTTTTTATCTATAATACTCCGTATAATATATATTATATACTGAGTATAATTGTCCGTATATTACACTTACATCTTCTTTGGGCCCAATCCAATAATTAAAACAAAAACACTAAATGATTCGGAGTATAAATAATGCTACATAAATAGAACAAAACTCTTAAACCTAATTCAGTCGGCAACATATCCTCTAGCAGACCAAAAAGTCCAAAAGTGAGGAACGGCAGAACTAATCGCCTTTGGTGTTCCTCCTCAATTCGGCTCACCTACAAGGCTAATATAATCTTGCAAATTCTTCTCTTCAATTTTTGTAGCGTTATTTATAAATGTTAAAATCTAATTTTTTTATATTTCATGGGGGTTATTTAGTTATTTAAGAACCGTACCGAACCGTACCGTACCGGACCGAAAATTGGTACGGAACGGGACAGGTTCTACATATATGCGGGACGGTACCGGTTCTTGATTTTAAAAAGAACCGTACTTTGGAACGGGACAGGTTTTTTGAAATAACCGTCCCACGCTCACCCCTACTGCATCACGGGGACTGTCCCCCATCATTGTTACATCAAGCAGCTCCTCTAACCTATAAGAGCACTTCACAGCAACCATCTCACCTCTAACGAGCTTCAAGTCTTCAACTTTAAGTGTCTCCCAATTCCGAGTTGCTATTGCATTGTACTCAAATGGCACGTGGAACCGCTCACAATATTTTACCAGACGACGGCCAGTCTCTTCTAATGGTTCCGCTGGCCGAAAACCTGGTTGAGGAAGCTCGATTCCGGAAACGCGAAATTTAGGAGGCCTGCCGGGCCGGATTGATAGATGTTGGATAAGAGAAGGCCATTGGAAACCATACTCTACCAAAATCTGTTAACTCCTCTTCCACATAAACTGCAGATTGCTTGTTGCTTCTCTCTTCCTCAAGCTCGTTGTTATCAGGATGCTGATGCTTCTTTTTTCTAGAAGAAATATTAAGTGAATTATCCATCACATGGTCTTTGGAGGCTACGAGTCTTTAACCAAATCAATACCAGATTGATTAGTAGCAGGGAGGATTTTACTTGCTTCCTCCACTCCTCTCTTGAACTGTAGCATGGTTTCTGTGTCACAAAATATGTTTCCAAGCTCACCATAATGTAACATAGAGTCCACTTGAATTTTCATACTACTCTCATAACTATTTGAAGAATCATTTGAACTCACAGAGGAGGTAATCGGAAAAGAGGAATGGAAAGGAAGTTCAGGAGGAGGAATATCACAAAAGATGATCCTATATGATCGATCAACAGTCCACTGAGGTGGTTCACTTGAGTTGTCATACATGCTGTCCGAGCTCTCTGCATTTTTATGGCTAATGTGGGATTCATGAGGAGGAGGGTTTTTATCAAGGGCTTCATAGAAGTATTTGTCAGCAGCTTCAAGAGCAATCGATCATGGGACATACTGGATTTCTCATTGATGTTCTCCTCCAATAGTATGTGGTTGAGGAACTTGAAAACAGGATCAATGTCATGGTCTTCTTGTGAGTCCAACTCAGGAGGAGGAGCAACATAGGAATGGTTGCGAGTGGGTGACGTCAAAGGGTCACCCGTGAAATCTAGAGTAGCTAAAGAGTCATCTAAGTAGTTGTAAGGAATATCATGAGATTGCTGAAGGCTGCTGGGAAAGAACTCATCTTAGCTTGCTGCTTGAATGTGTTTAAATAAATAAACACATTACACATATGTGAAAAGAACCTGAAGCATCCATAGTCAGAACACGTATGAGCAACATTTTGCAATGTGAAATTTGACCTCAATTTTTTTTTGTAGAATTATTAATTAAAATAGTTTCAGAAATAAGTTAATAAGTACATAATCCATCCTCGAAATTCAGTTACACGAAATCCTGAAGCAGAAAGAAATCACACATTATATTGTTAAAGAAAGATATAAATATAAAACAGTAGGTCAACATGTAAGAAAAGGATGAAATTTAGAATTTTTAGGAGAAATTATTTCTTTTTAAATACATCGGCTTATTAATAAAGCATTCGTTTAACCACTTCAGATGATTTATTTGACTTAAAGTGATAGGATATTTAAATTTAGCTCGAAAATAAAGTTTTCAAATCGAGATTCAAATCCTATTTGGGCTGATGAACATTTTGGAGGGACAATACAAAACACATTCTTGAATTAAGAGTCAAGATTATAGACTGAAGGTTGTATTTTTGCTCAAACAGAGAGTGAGAGACTAACATCTATCAGTAAAGACAGTGAATACAGTTCTAAAAAATTGCGGGTACGGGAATAACATCTTTAATGGAAATGAGTGTTCAAATTGACGGAGAAAAGGGAAAAGTGCTCGATTCACCGTCGTAAAAATAGCTCTAGAAGACTGATTGGTCTCCGCCTAGGCGCTATGCACTAGTCGGGCGCTCCAACTTTTCTCTAGGCACCCTGACTAAATAGTTTGGCACCTAGGTTAAATTAGTTGGTCGCCTAAGGCATACATAGTTACTCGCCCAGAGCACCTAATCGCCGCCTAGGGTGTCTAGATTCACTAAATAATTTTCGCTTTTGAATTCCCTTTTTCAAAGAGATATGTACTTTTAACTTTCATCACGAATATTAAGAAAGGTATTTGTAAATTAAGATTAAAACTATGTATGTTTGTATATATACTTAAATTTTATTATTATTTACTCGCTTCATCGCACTAACAATGGGACATGAGGGGTGTCACACATACCAATAAAAGTGGATATATATGGTTGCTATTAAATAGATAAAGTAAAAATAAAATAATAATGATTTAAAACCACACAAATTTTACTAAATTAGGACAATCTTAGCGAGACGGAGTAATATTTATAACATAATAAAATCAAGTGATTTAAATTAAGTGATTTATCATATATTATTACAAATGACAATTCTATCATTCATGCATATTAATGTGTGATTATATTTTTCATACGCACACAAAAACAACACTACAATTTTCCTAAGTATTATCATATTCATGCAACAAAATTAATAAACATACAATTTATGTGTCCCCGCCTAGGCGCCCGCCTAACCGCTAGGCGTTGGGCTGACACCCAACTAGCGCCTAGCATCTTTTAGAACATTCACTGAATTATATTGGAATTTCAATAAATTAAGAGAAAGTTATAGGTAGTCGATCACTTTGTCCCTGGATTGCATCTGTGTTTCCATTCTTGAGGTCTATGTTTGGACTAGACAATTGCTAGTTTTATTCATATTATATATGTACTCACTCTATCCCATTTTATAAGATATCTTTACTATTCACTTGGTCAACACAAATCACTCTTAATCTCTTACTTTATATATCAAATTTTTATGAAATTTGAATTATTTTTTGCAGGTTTTGTAGCAGTTTTATTGTAGTGTCTGAATATGTAATTTTTTTTCTAAAAATAATTTGAGTGCAGACAGGGGTCCGTTTTCTTTATCATCGGTCAAACATCGTAAACCGAAAAGTATCTTATAATTCAATACCGACTGACTAGAAAAGATCTTAAACAAAGTACATGTAAATTCAATACCGACTGACTAGAAAAGAATACAAATTCAGCAGACACATGAGGCTCCGTAAATAGATGAAATACTGCAAACATATCATGTTTTTATCAAGCCTTTATTCAATGGTACCATTGACAGATATCGATCCATCCAGTGGAGGCCTGATGATGTGGAATATAGAAGGTTCACACTCAAATGACAAGAAGCAATGGAAGCATGATCACCACCACCAGTTGGCCTGTTGTTCACAAGGAAGCGCTAACTAGGTACCCAGCAAGAACTAGCACACAGAATCCGCCCCTTCCACCCCTGCACCATCCAATTACCATCTTCATCCAGCATAAAGTATTTGTGGTACCCTTCCTTCATTTTTGCAATCTTAACCATCAACTCTGGGTTCAGAGGTAGAGGATTGAACCCAGCCCTTATAGTCCTCACTTGCCACTGCTTGTAAGTTTCAGGCCTCACAATCCTCTCTTCCCCCTCACATGCAATCACATTCAACGACTCAAGCCCATAGAATTCTTGCTCAAAGAGAAACCTCTGTTCATCGTTACGGGGTAATGTATTATCAAAAATATCAAAGAACGCAGAGTAATAGAAGAGAGCTTCTCGGAACCGGTTAACAAAGAATGGAGAGCTATAAGACCCATTACCAACAGTGTGCACAAAAATACTTGGGTTCAGTTTACGGATTAGGTTTAGGACTGCATCACGGGGACTGTCCACAATCACCGTTTCATCAAGCAGGTCTTGTAACCTATAAGAGCAGTTCACAGCAACCATCTCACCTCTCACGAGCTTCAAATCTTCAACTTTAATTTTCTCCCAATTCCGAATTGCTATTGTGTTGTACTCAAATGGCACACCAAATCGCTCACAATATTTTGCCAGGCGTCGTCCAGTCTCTTCTATCAATTCCGCTGGCCGGAAACCCGGTTGAGGAAGATCAATTCCTGTAATGCGAAGATTAGGAGGCCCACCGGGCCGAACTGAAAGATATTGAATTAAAGCAGGCCACTGGAAGCCATACTCAATACCAAAATCAATGAGATGTAGCGCTTTAGCTTCCAATGACGTCACGTAAATCATTTTATTTGTGAAGCCAATTGACACCTTCTTGAACGGGCAGGCTGACATGTAAACCTGGTATGCTTTCAACTTCTCAACAGCTGTGAACCTTTTAGGGGCTCGGGACGTATAGAGCTGAGTCCCCATGCCAGCCAAACGTGCCTCAAGACCATTTGCCAATACATATGCCAACCTCTGATTCGCATCACCGTTAAGCGAACTGTGCTTCCGGATATGTGTCAACTGTTCATTTGCAGACTTGCGGTGATCATCAGCGACAAATTGTGCACAGCCAATTAGAAGAGTCCTCAAGTCTACAGCGTCACCTGTTGTATCTCCCTGCAGCTTCTTCTTTGCATGTCTTTTACCAGCAGGTCCACCATTATGTGGTACACCCCCATCATTCAGCGTGTTTTGAGGCAGTTTGTTACCAATTGGAGCAACATTCATGCAACAGTCATTAGGATCATTAAGCAAAACATTATCAAACGTCTCAATTAACTCCTCTTCCACATAAACTGCAGGTTGTTTGCTGCTCCTCTCTTCTTCAAGCTCATTGCTATCAAGATGGTGATGGTTCTTTCTTCTAGAAGAATGATCAAGTAAATTGTCCTTGATGATGGTTTTATTAGGCATACTACCTCTTTTTGGAGGAATGGAGTATTTATCCAAATCAACAAACTGATTAGTAGTGGGGAGGAATTTGGCTGCTTCTTCCATTCCTCTCTTGAACTGCAGTTTGGCTTCTGTATCACTAAAGATATTTCCAAGCTCGCTAGAGCCCACTTGGACATTCAGACTACTGCCATACAAACTTTTAGAAGAATTTGAACTTTCAGAGAAGGTCAGAGAAGAGGATTGGAAAGAAGGTTCTGGAGGAGTAAATAAAGATGATTGTAGAGATTCAACAGTCCACTGGGGTGGTTCACTGGAATGGCCGTACATGCTGTCAGAGCTTTCTGTGTTTTTATTGCTAATGTAGGATTCACGAGGAGGGTTTTTATCAAGGGCTTCAGAGAAGTATTTCTCAGCAGCTTCAAGAGCAATTGGATCATGGAACATACCCGGCTTCTCATTGATATTCTCCTCCAACAGTATCTGGTTGAGGAACTTAAAAACGGGATCAGAGTCATGATTCTCTGGTGACTCCAACTCTGCAGCAGAAGCGAAATAGCCATTGTAGGGACTGGGTGTACTCAAAGGGTCACCCGCGAAATCCAGAACAGATGAAGAGTCGTTCAAGTAATTGTAAGTAATATCTTGTGATTGCCGAAAGGTGCTAGAAAAAAAGGACTCATCATGCTGCTCGAATGCGCTGACAGAGTCAGGCAACCCGGTCAATTGAGGATCCATAAATAAACATAGATGTGAAAAGAACCTGCAGCATCCATAGTCAAAATGTGCATGAGCAACATTATGAAATGCGAAAGTGGACCTTGAGGCTGTTGGCCTTAGCCTCATGAGGCATACGCCTGGAGGCTTAACCAGACGTAAACCTCAAATTGTTAATTTAAACAAGTTTAAAAATATGCTTAAAATAGATAATCGATCCTAGAAGATATCACACACATGATACTGTAAAAGAAGGAAAAAGTCACACCAGTAGGTCAATATGAAGGTATAGGATAATATGAAGAATTTGTATGTTAGAAATCAATAGGTTTATTGAGAAAGCATTCACTTATACACTTCTGATAAATATGAGACTTAAGCTATAGAATATTTGAATTTGGCACCAAAAGAAGGTTTACAAACTGAGATTCAAGTTCTAGTTCAGCATACATATATTTAGGAGGAAGAAAATAAAAACAGGTTCTTGAAATAAGGCTCAAGGTTTCTAACATGGAGTGATCAAACTGTGCTTTTAATGGTATCAAACACCATATATAACCACTTCTTCACTGATGATGCCCCCGGCTTCCTATTCAACACACACGAGTAAATTCAATACCAAGTGACTAAAAATTCAGAAAAAAGTCAAACATAGACTATTTGTACATCAATCAAACATATCATACTATCATGAAAAAAGTCAGTTGAGCTATCAAAATATTCATGGCCAAATCCGACTTTTCATCAAGCTATTGTTTCCGATTACCATCGAAAGCAACTCCAGGTCAGGTATAAAACCAGTGTTGGCCTGTTTAATTTGATATATAAGAAGGTTCACTCAAATAACAAATAGCTACTAAACCAGATCTCCTCGTATAACAAGTAGCTACGTGGAAGAGACATAGTTCACATATTTCTACAAAGGTTCCCAAAACGAGCAAGCATACAGAATCCGCCCCTTCCAACCCTGCAACATCCAATTACCATCCTTATCCAACATAAAGTCTTTGTGGTACCCTGCCTTGATCTTTTTTCCCATCCTCAGCATAATATCTGGGTCCAGTACAAGAGGCTTGAACCCAGCCCTCACAGTCCTCACCTGCCATTGCTTGTACGTTTCAGGCCTCACGATCCTCTCTGTCCCCTCACATGCAATCACATTCAAAGCCTCACGCCCAAAGAACTCTTGCTCGAAATGAAACCTCTGCTGATCGTCACGGGGTAATGTGCTGTCAAAAAAATCAAAAAAGGAAGAGTAGTGGAAAAGAACTTCTCGGAACCGAGCAACAAAGAATGGAGAACTATAAGACCCATTTGAAACAGAGTGCACAAAAATATTTGGGTTCAATTTGCGGATGAGGTTTAGAACTGCATCACGGGGACTGTCCACCAAAACTGATTCATCAAGCAGGCATTTTAACCTATACGAGCAGTTCACAGCAACCATCTCGCCTCTAACAAGCTTCAAATCTTCAACTTTCATCGTTTCCCAATTCTGCTTCGCTATAGCATTGTACTCAAATGGCACACCAAACCGCTCACAATACTTCGCCAGACGACGCCCAGTGTCTTCTATTAATTCCGCAGGCCGAAAACCTGATTGAGGAAGATCAATTCCAGTAATGCGCAGTTTAGGAGGCCCACCAGGCCTGATTGAAAGATGTTGGATGAGGACGGGCCATTGGAAACCATATTCAATACCAAAATCTATGATATGTAGTGCTTTAGCTTCCAATGACACCATATAAATCATTTTATTTCCAACGCCTAGTGCAATCTTCTTAAACGGGCAAACTGACATGTAAACCTGATATGCTTTCAACTTCTCAAAAGCTGTGATCCTTTTAGGAGGTCGGGATGTGTAGAGCTGAGTCCCCGTTCCAGCCAAACGAGCCTCAAGACTATTTGCCAGTATGTATGCCAGCCTCTGATTTGCATCACCATTGAGCGAGCAGTGCTTCCAGATCACTCTTAATTGTTCATATGCAGACTTGCGATCATCAGCAGCAACCGATTGTGCACAGCCAATTAGAAGAGTCCCCAAGTCCACAGCTTCACTTGTTGTACCTTCCTGCTGCTGCTTCTTTGGACGCCTTTTTTTATTTCCAACTGTTTCAGGTAAAGCTTGAAGACCTGCACCCTTCAACACATTATGTGGCTGGTCGTTGCCAACTTCGGATGGAGGGAGAATATTCATGCGACACTCAATAGGATCCAACAGCAATACTTTATCAAACATCTCTGATAACTCCTCTTCCACATAAACTGCAGATTGCTTGCTGCTCCTCAATTCTTCAAACTCATTGTTATCAGGATCAGGATGCTGATGGTTCATTCTTCTCAAAGATTTATTAAGTGAACTGTCCATACTAGTATTCTCTACCTTGATGAATGTATCATTAGGCATCTCATCTGTTTTTGGAGGCAATAAGTCATTATCCAAATCAATGACCAATTGATTAGTAGCAGGGAGGAATTGACTCACTTCCTCCATGCCTTTCTTGAACTGTAGTATGGCTTCTGTATCACTAAGTATATTTCCAAGCTCGCTAGAACTCAACATAGAGTCCACTTGGATATTCGTACTACTCCTATAGTCATTTAAAGAAAAAATTGAACTCTCAGATGATGTGTTCTGGAAAGAAGAATGAAAAGACGGTTCATGAGAAGGAATTGCAAAAGATGATTTAGATCGTCCAGGATCAACAGTCAGCTGAAGAGGCCCACTGGAAATGTCATACATGCTTTTTAAGCTTTCTGTATTGTTATGGTTAATATGGGATCCATGAGTGGAAGGAGGAGGGTTCTGATCAAGGGCTTCGTAGAAGTATTTCTCAGCTGCTTCAAGAGCAACTGGATCATGGAACATACTCGGCTTCTCATCAATGTTCTCCTCCAACAGTATCTCATTAAGGAACTTGAAAACAGGATCAGCATCACGATCTTCGGGTGAGTCCAACTCTGCAGGTTGAACAAAATAGCCATGGTGGGGACTGGGTGTACTCAAAGGGTCACCCGTGGAATGCAGAACAGTTAAAGAGCCATCCAAATAATTGTAAGGAATACCTTGAGATCGCTGGAAGGTGCTAGAAAACAAGATGTCATCTTGTTGCTCGAATGTGCTTAATAAGTCGGGAAAACCAGTCAATTGAGGATCCATGAATAAACATATATTTAAAAAGAACCTGCAGTATCCATAGTCAGTAGTCACATTATGTATGAGCAAGGTTTTGAAAGGAAAGCGAGAAGGCGGTTTGCCTTAGCCTCAAGAATGTGTAAGTTAGAAAATGTTAAATTTTAAATTAACTGGTTGTTTGATTAAGAAAGCATTCATTAATAAATGTTCATAATTTATTACAACTTATAGTTAAGAGTATTTGAATTTAGCACCAAAAGAAGGTACCTGAATTGAGATTTGAATCCAAATTTAGTGGACCTACTCTTTGAATCATGAATAAAAATTTACTTTATGAGTCACTATATTCTGCATAAGCTAATGATGAAAAACTAAAAACAAAGGTTGTTAAATAGAGTATTCTTAAATATTTAAATGTTAATAAATTGGTTAAATATGTTTTTAGTCCTTGTAAATATAGCACATTTTGTTTTACATCCCTGCAAAGTTATTTTTTGTTTTTCTTCCCTGCAATTTATGTTAGTTTTCCTTTTAGTCTATCACTAATGATAACAACCTCCGCTTGACCACAAAATAATCTCGGCTAATAATTCTTTTGGACTGTTTTCAATCCTAGATCAGACCAGACCAGATCAGACCAGACTTCCGTAGACCAGACGTTTACCAGACCAGAACAGTTCAGACCAAACGTGACCAAATCAGACCAGACCAGCAAATTTCAGTCCAAAAGAAAACATCCTTATAAAAAAAGTATTTAATTTTATTTTCTCGAAGGCTTTTAATATATATTTTGAGAATGTGAATACTTAGTTTTACATTATTTTAACTCTCATACTAGCCTAAAAATTTATAAAAAACAAAATTTAAATATTTCTAGTAGATTTATGCAACTCACAATATATATTTTTCTAAGTAGAGAGTGGTTTTGGAATTAGAGAAGGACTAAAAACAAAGTAGTGCATATTACAAGGATGAAAAACAAAAAAATACTCCCGGTTTTGTAGGGACCTTAAACAAAGTGTGTCATACATGCAGTGCTAAAAACATATTTAAGCCTTATAAATTTCAACTGAAAATCAAATTGAAAAGAGGAAAGTATGATGGTTTAATTGTTAAATGGGCTTCAGTCTAGACCCAATTTTTGGGCAAAATTTAGAACTCCCAATAAATAGTAATAAAAGTGAAATAATAATAATAATAACAATAACAATAATAATAATACAACAATGTTCAAGCCTTAACCCCAAAAGAGTTTGGAGTCGGCAAACATGAACCGACGTGTGAAATCGAAGTTAAAACAATAATTAAAAAAAGAGAAACAAAATCAGATCAATCCTCCACACATATACTCTCCCTCCACTTTGCTCTATCTAAAGTCACTCTCATGATCTCATCTAACCTAAGAAGTATGATATCATTCTTGACCAATCTAATTCACATCTGTCTAGCTTGCCCCCTCATGCTCTTCCCACTTTTCGCTCAAGTGTCTCATTACTCAAATGGTCTTTTACTCTTTTCTAATATGTCAAGCCATAGAATAAAGCAAGCCTATTTGAGGTTTGATAAACCTTACCATTCAGTCTAGTTGGCATACATCAACTTCATAGAAACCTTGTCACACTCTTCCACTCCATCCACCCATTTTGATTTTATGGACATATGTCACTCTAATTCACTGTCCTTCTGAACTATGGAGCTCAGGTAACGTAAACACATCAGTGACCATGATCTAGTCTTACCATCCATAATAATCTGAGTGTTACGGTGTTACCATTGTTTCTACCTTCAGTCTTGCTTCAACTCAGCCCGAAACCATAGTTCCAAAATCCTTTAACACTTAATCTAGTATCATCAATCAACACAACATCATCAACAAACATAATGTGCCATGGTATCTCTCTTTGAATTGATTTGGTGAGTTCATCCATGACTATAGCAAATTGGAAAGGACTTGGAGTCGATCCTTGATACACTCCGATATTAATAGGGAACTATGTTGTCCTCCTTTTTATACTAGCACAAACAATTGTAGTACAATCCGCATACATATCAATAATGATTTGATATACTTAGATGATATGTATTTTCTAGTTAATCTTCCACTAAAGGGTTTCTCGAGGCACCCTATCATAGTCTTTTCCAAATGTAGGTCTTTGTTTTTATCTCTATACTTAGCCACAAGTTGCCTGATAAAGTGAATGCCCTCGATCATTGAATGACTTGACATAAAACCAAATTGATAATTACAATTATAATAATAATGCAAAAATTTTATTATTATTACATGAGTAGAATATGGTCAATAGAAATTAGAAACATGAGAACCCTTCTTCTTCTTTGTCATTACCCCAGTGCCGCAGAAACATGCGAACCAAAATAGTAAAAATAGAAGTGGGGGAATTGGTAAATCAGCTAGACAATTTCAACTAGAAGTAGAAAGAGGTGAAGAGAATGAACATAATAAGAAAGAAAGAAAGAAAGAAAAGGAAAAATGTCTACATGGTAAGTTTATTGGATTCCCGGGATATGACTAAAGGAAAGTGAGTTTCTCGAAATGTGACTAGTTATGTATTTTTCTCGAAATATGACCAAAAATCGAAAAAAAAAAGAATTTTTCGTTATATTAATATGTTGAAGGACAAAAGTACCCTTTTTAAAAAAATATGCATTTTACACTAATTTCGTCCAGGTAAAAATATTGCACTTTATGAAGGCGTTATTGCACTACATTTATTGCACTTTATGGCGGTATTCATTGCATGACATAACAAAAATGTTATGAATTTAGCGTTTTTAGGCATATTCTGAAATCTGAACGCATATGAGGCTAAGACAACCTTAGACGCCTTCAAAAATAGCGTATATCAGGGAATGATGTTCGCAAAGACAGTGATTGAATGGTTTTGGTAACAAAACTATTGACACCTTTATTGATATCATTAACAAATGCCAAACAGCGATATGTATGCATCCTTATATAGAAGAGAAGTATACTGTACACCTTCAGGTTGTCTTCATATTATCATTTATCAACTCATGTCAAAAAATCTTAGACTTTTTAAGTTTGCAGGTGCCTTTACCGGGCTACTCAGAAAAGGAAACACCATTCACAGTAATTCATAGAGAAAAATGTAATATGCAGAAATATGGATTCCTTTAAGAATTACCATTTAACTTGAAGAGAAGATCTAAATATTAATGTTTATTCTAAATGTATAAATAAATATTTTCACTTTAAGAATCACTTGGCTGAAATACTGGATTAACAAACAAAAAGGAATACTCAATACTTCAAAAGTGGCCAAATTACCAAATTGGTAAAAAAAAACGGCAACAAATTGGTAAAAAACTAAAGCTCCGGTAACAAATTGGCCATTTTTTGTGAGCGACACACTTTTAGTCATTGACTTTAGAATTCCCAATATTTAGTCCTCTCAGTATTGTAAAATTGACATTTGCAAACCTTCTAATTTGATTTTGTCGTGAAAAGTGGACTAAAATTGACAGTGAGTGATTGGTTGCTAGCTGATAGCCTCTTGAATCGGAAGATTGATACTAGAGGATTCTGTTAGTTGTTTTAACCAACCGCTTTCATTAGCGGTTAAAGTAAAATGTTTAATAATTTAACTGTTTGTCATTAGCTTTATTAAGACACAAAATGTTTATTAAGGATATGAATTTAAAAGTATATAACTATAAGTTAACTTTACTATTTTAAATTTTAATTCTAATAAGTTTTGGTTATTATATGAAGTATAATTTAAAAAAAAACTAATAAAATAGTCATATTTAAAATGTCATTTATGAATATTTTTGTTATTTTATAGAGTATAATTTTTTAAGGACTAATGAAAAAGTCATATTTAAAACTAATAACTTTATTCTTTTATTTTATCACTATGAATATTTTTACTATTTTATATGGAGTATCATTTAAAAATAATAATAATAAAATAGTCATATTTGAAATATTAATACAAAAAATAAATTAATTTATATGTGTGTGATCGTGTATATGTACATATATTAAAAAAAAAATAGTGGTAGTAAATATATAAAATAAAAGTAAATATAAATTTCTTAAAATCAAAATTTATGAAAAAACTAAAGAAATAAAGTTAAATTAAATATATGCACTATTAAATTAATATCCTTAATGGTCATTTTACATCTTAACATTTAATCGATAATAGCTAAGTTACTAAATATTTTACTTCAAACAGTATATGAAAGTGATTGGTTAAACCAGCTAACAGATTCCAATAGTACCAATATGATGATTCAAGTCATTCAACCTGCTATCAGCTAGCGGCCAACTGCTGATTGTCAAACACGACATTTTTAGTCCTCCCCACTTTTCATGACAAAATCAAGGTAACAAATTAAGAATGTCAATTTTACAATACTTAGGGACTGAATGTTGGGATTTCTAAAATCGAGGACTAAAAGTTTCTCACTACAAAAAATTGATCAATTTATCGTTGGAATTTATTTTTTACCAATTTTTCGCCAGAGCTTCTTTTTTTCCCAATATGTCGTCGGAGGTATTTTTACCAATTTGGTAATTTGGCCCTTTAAAAGTTGAGCCTTCTTGTTTTTCCACCATAAACAAATGCTAACGTTTCCAACTAGATAAAAAAACACGCAAGTGGAAGAACATATACAGAAATGCATACAAAGTAGAAGAATTTGCTACAAATAGGAGCAAAACATGCACAAAGTTAATAAATAGGACCAATTATATTTTATTCTTAAAAAGACTTGAACAAACTAGATTTGAATAGACAAAACTTGACATCTTAAAATACATGCTACGATATAGACTAGACATCTACCAAACCACACCAGACTTAAATAGACTAGATCGGACTTAAACAGATAAAAATTGCATCCAATTATTTTTACAGTAGAAAATTTCATCCAATTACACGAGAATAAGCGAGGTTAAAATTTCTTTTATAGGAGAGGACGAGTCCAATTTCGGGAAAGAAATAAAATGTGTTGTCTTGCAATTTACTCTATTTATCCAAATTTCCAAAAAGTTTAGCTCAAGGCCAAAATCCTAAGCCGTCACACTGAAAATGGGGGAAAAACCATAAACCGTGGTCTTGAATGGAAATGGGTGTTCGAAGTCCAGGAGAAAACGGAGAAGTGCTTGATTATGTTGGAATTTCAACAAATAAAGAGAAGTACTTTAGGCAGTCGATCACGAGAGAAAAGATCAAAGGAATGCACAAAAATCGCTCCAAAGATAATTCATATGTGTACCTTGGAGCCTAGTAAATTGGAGAAGACACCGGCAGAACCGTAGCGAACGCTGAAACAAATGGGCGCAAATCACTCTTAACGGCGGAGGAAGGGAAAAATCAAGGACTATTCTTCATTTCTTTCTTCCCAGTTCCAACTGACCTCGATGATTAAGATTTAAGACTCTAATTTCGTGAAAATGCTCGTTTGATAGCTTGGAGGTTAAAACTTAAAACTCTAGGGAAACAATTGAAAAAAAAAGTTATTGGACTGCTTTATAAAAAGCATTTTGACGTTGAATACTGCTCCCTCGGGGTGCCTCCTTCCCAATTCCATAAAATAAGTTTGTTTGTGTAATGGAAAAAGTGAGAAGCGGTTTAAAGCATCTTTCAACTTATTTATATTTTTTAGCTTTAAAATGTTTAATCTAAATATAAGTTGTCATTTGAAAATACTTATTTCAAATTTTTAAAGCTAAAAGGTGAAATGTACTTTTTAAAATGTTTGCAACCACTCCCTTAGATAATGTGTATTGTGTGATTAGAGTTATGTATATGAGAAATAAATGTGTAGGAATATGAACAAAAAATCTTAATTAAAAAAAGGAATAAAGAGATAATCTAGAAACGGACGAAGAGGGAAAGTTTGAAGAAAAAATGCAAAAAAGGGGGATGGAGGGGGTAGTATTTTATAGTTGAGAAAAAAATGAAGTTTTTCACTATAATGTTTTTGCATTTTTAGTCAGTATTGATCATTATATCAAACGAAACTAAATTAAACAGTCATTGTAGATCATTATATCACAGAAACTAAATTAAACAATCAGCATTTTATTGAATAGATATTCCATATAACATTTTTCTTTTAAAACTTTTTTAGTCACTAAAACCTACTTTTTGTTATGTATACCATTTTTCTTTTAAGATTTTTTCAGTCACTTCTAACAAAGTGGAAGGCGCACATCTATGTGGATGATTGATGTCATTTCTACCTTTCCTCTCGATTTTCTTTTATCGTTTATCTTCGTTATCTTTTTATATTCTTATGTTATTCTTATCTTCTAGCTTTTTATGCTCTTTTATCTTTTTATCTTTTATATTTCTTACTTTCTTATGTTATTTTTATCTATATTTATGTATCTTTATTTTATCGTTTTATCTTACATTTTTTTCCTTCTTGTCTATCTTCTCTGTTTGGCATCGATATCATAGATTAATTCATGTTAGCTGATCCCAATTTTTTGGGGATTAAGACTTGGATGTTGTTGTTGTTATTGTTGTTTTTAGTTCTTTTGCAACATTTTTGTCATGTGATTTTAGATTGAAGATAGAGTGCTTTGGTTTTTTATTGAGAAATTTAGATAAGTGCAATGTCTTAGGGGGCATTTAAGTCGTCTTTAATTATCTCATTTTCAAGTGATAAGTGTTTTAGATCATCCCCACGACATTCTGTTGTAAGTCACGGGTTGTCAATTCATATCTATAAAAAAGCATTTGTTTTAAACCATTTTGTTTTTTTTATCCATCCCGATCCAACCCGAACCTACCCCGAAGTTCGTAAAACCAGACCAACTTGAAAGCTTTCGGGCTTTCTAGGTCCTAGCCAAAATCTGACCCAACTCAATCCATACTCACCCCTACTTAAATATCATGTATGGGTTCCTGTTAGCTGACCACAACATATTTTAAGACTAATGGTGGAATTTTATTGTTATTGCTATTAGAGTGAATTACCTAAGAGTAAAAGGTAGTCAAAAATAACAAATAGAACTGCATTGTTTTGAATTCACTAGCAGGACTAATTATGTGTGTTTGAACAAATATACCTTTGTAGCTTTTTGGACTAAAATAATTATTTGATAAAATTAATAAAAATAAAAAATTAGAAAAATATAAATTATAAATAAAAAATTAAAATTTGAAAAAAAAATTACAATAAACTTAAAAAAAATACACTGCCGCCTCTACCGCTCCTAGCACCACCAGCTCTAATCACCGGGAAAAATGACAACATGTACTAGTAATACCATATTGATGACAATTTCAATGAAACTTTTGGCATTATCAAAGAGTAAAATGCCGTTTTCTTGACATTTTCATAAAAAATTGCATTTTTTCACCGATCGAAAGTGATAGTTCTAGGGAGCGGTGGAAAAGGCAGCGATGTTTTTTTATAGTTGTTTACCATTTTAATTAATTTTATATTTGTTTTCAAATTTTTTTTATAAATATTTATAACTTTTTATTTTTTTGCGATTTTTTTTTATTTTAAAGATTTTATTATGAATTAAAACATTTTATTATGATTTGATACTTAGAAAGTTAATATTCAGTCCTATTTGTGAATGATTTAGGGTTTTGTCATATTTGTGAAATTAAGTTTTCGTTTAGTCTTGTTTAGATCAATTTTTAATTGTTATTATCCATTTACAGTAGGATAGAGAAATTGAGTAATTATTATTATTGTACTAATCCCTATATGGAAAGGAAGGAAAGTGGAGTGTCAGCTTAATTTTGCGACATGTCTCACGGTATAGAAAGGTGAATACGTGATTTTGGAACAGATAAGTATGAATACAAGTTTCTATGGGATTGGAACAGATAAGTATGATTGTATGAATACAAGTTTTTATGGGATTGAAAAGCGGTTTAAAGCATTTTCTCAACCTATTTATAGCTTTTAGCTTTAAAGTGCTTAATTTAAATAGAAGTTGTCATTTGAAAATACTTATTTCAACTTTTTAAAGCTAAAAGGTGAAAACTGAAAAGTACTTTTTAAAGTGTTTGCAAACTCTCACTAAGATAATGTGTATTGTGTGGTTAGAGTTATGTATATGAAAAATAAATCTGTAGGAATATGAAAAAAAAATACGTGAACAAAAAGATCTTAATTAAAAAAAGGAATAAAGAAATAATTTAGAAACGGACGAAGAGAGAAAGTTTGAAGAAGAAAATGAAAAAAAAATGGGATGGAGGGAGTAGTATTTTATAGTTGAGAAAAAAATGAAGTTTTTCACTATAATGTTTTTGCATTATTTAGTCAGTATTGATCATTATATCAAACGAAACTAAATTAAACAATCATTCTAGATCATTATATCACAGAAACTAAATTAAACAATCAGCATTTTATCGGATAGATATTCCGTAAAACATTTTTCTATTAAAACTTTTTTAGTCACTAAAAAATGCTTTTTGTTATGTATACCATTTTTGTTTTAAGATTTTTTCAGTCACTTCTAGCAAAATATATGATACCACATTTAGTTCATATTTTTTCACTTTATCTATTTTTTGTACTTGATTAATGTTTCTTAACTATTTGTGGTCATTCTCTAACTATTTTAACCACTAGATACATTGTCAGAAAGATCATATATGGAGAAAACACAATAATTATGTATCAAAAGTAGCCAAAGTGGAAAAAAAACGTGGACCAACTATGGGATTGGAACGAGACTCGATTGTAGAATCAAAAATGAAATTTGTTCATATTAAAACTAACGGAAATTGATCTTCTAAATATTATATTTTGCTACATATGGTTGCATTTAGTGGCAGTGCCAAAAACAACTGGGAGAGGTCGAACTTAATTAATTACGATAGTACATAATAAAATGATGGATCATTTGTAAATTATATCTGATAATTTACGTAGCTTAGATAATGATTGTTTAAATGAGACTAGTAGAGTTATACATTTGATAAATATGACATAGAAATTATGAAAGAATGTATAATATGTTTACAGATTTTTGGTTAACAAGACGGAGGACTACTTTTGTTCTAAATGGTAGATTTCAATCAATAATTAGGTTAATCACCGAATTCAAAAATAATCATTACCATAAAGTTCTTGTACAACTAAAGGATTCTAGACCAGAATTGCGGAGAAGAAAACAATATTTCAACTTTAGATCTCTAATCAAGGACGCTCAAGCTGCAAGCAAAAAAATAATCCATAATTAACTATTTATATAATATAAAGTAACAGTCAGTGCACAACAGTTGGAGGGAAAAATCCCGCCCAAAATGTTTTACGGAATAATAATAATGGAAATGATGATTGCAAAACATTAGAGTAATTATTATTGTAGACAAATCTGTTGGGTTCCCTCCTCAATTGAGAAGTTAATGAGAATTCTAGAATATTGCGGAGATGTCTAGAATTCTCTAGATGTGTGTAGAGAAATATTGAATGTTCTAGAATATTCCGGAGCTTTCTAGAGAGACGTGGAATTATCTAGAAGCGTGTGGAAGAGTATAGAATATTCTAGAACATTGTGGAGTTTTCTAGAGAAATGTGGAATTCTTTAGAATCGTGCGGAAGTTTGTGGAAGCCTCTAGAACATTCTCAAGCGACGTGGAGTTCTCTAAATCCTTCTAGAAGATTAGAGAAGCTTGTGGATAGTTCTTGGAAGAATCTAGAAATGTAGTGATGTATAGAAAGTTCTACATAAGCTTTGAGATGAGATGTATAAATAGGGGTGAGATTCCTCATTCCTAAATGAGAGAGCCTCTAGAGAGAGAGCAATGTGAGTGAGGGCCTAGAGAGAGAGCCTCCTTGAGGGATGTAAGAGAGGAGCCTCAAGGAGAGCTCTTGAGTGAGGGAGAGCCTCCTTGAGATAAGAGAGTGAGAGTGAAGTAGTCCCATATACAAAGAGTGATGTGAGCTACCCGTTTACATGTAAAATATCTCTTGTATATTTCAATAGTATAATACAAAGTGATATTGTTAGATTGAATCTTTGTGTTACGAGTTGGTGGGTGAATGTACAAGAGACCTTTGAGCTGATGATCCTGGAAGAGGTCGGGGGGATCGTGTTTTTCCCCAACAGTGGTATCAGAGCCGGGTTGTTGGAGGTAGAGTAACAAGTGGAATTCGTCGTGGGGATAGATCTCGTCTTACCATAATGGTAGTAGTGTTGGTAAAGGCATTCGAGATCATGCTCTTTGATGGGATGTTGGACTTCACTTTAGAGCCTGGGTCATACATATATGGAGCAGAGTGATGAGATGCATCATGTGGATGGTTCTCAGACTGGTCTCGTGATTTGATCTGTTAGTGGTGCGTTGTATCGAAAGTCTTCCTGATATTGTGGTGGTCAGGCGGCGTGTCCCGTTGGTAAACAACGGCGGTACAAGAAGAATTGCAGGTCAAGTGTCGGCAGAAAGGAGATCTTCTTGAGAACATCTCATATAGGGTTTGGTCTTGCGATTTGATCTACTATTGGTGCGTTGTATCGAAAGTCTTCCTAATAATGAGGTGATCGGGCGGCGTGTCCCGTTAGTAGATAACGGCGGTACAAGAGAGTTTGGTGGATCATTTCTTGCTGCGGAGGAGATCATGACCATTCCTTGTAGCTACTCATATGTTGTGATACAAGCATTGTTTGAGGGGGAGCAACTCACATGTGAGGTGGAGACTGCAGAGTCTAAATGTGATGCTGCTATTGGTGGTTGCGTGTTACTTCTCAATTAAGTCGGTAGGGGGAGATTTGTTGGGTTCCCTCCTCAATTGAGAAGTTAATGAGAATTCTAGAATATTGCGGAGATGTCTAGAATTCTCTAGATGTGTGTAGAGAAATATTGAATGTTCTAGAATATTCCGGAGCTTTCTAGAGAGACGTGGAATTATCTAGAAGCGTGTGGAAGAGTGTAGAATATTCTAGAACATTGTGGAGTTTTCTAGAGAAATGTGGAATTCTTTAGAATCGTGCGGAAGTTTGTGGAAGCCTCTAGAACATTCTCAAGCGATGTGGAATTCTCTAGATCCTTCTAGAAGATTAGAGAAGCTTGTGGATAGTTCTTGGAAGAATCTAGAAATGTAGTGATGTATAGAAAGTTCTACATAAGCTTTGAGATGAGATGTATAAATAGGGGTGAGATTCCTCATTCCTAAATGAGAGAGCCTCTAGAGAGAGAGCCATGTGAGTGAGGGCCTAGAGAGAGAGCCTCCTTGAGGGATGTAAGAGAGGAGCCTCAAGGAGAGCTCTTGAGTGAGGGAGAGCCTCCTTGAGATAAGAGAGTGAGAGTGAAGTAGTCTCATATACAAAGAGTGATGTGAGCTACCCGTTTACATGTAAAATATATCTTGTATATTTCAATAGTATAATACAAAGTGATATTGTTAGATTGAATCTTTGTGTTACGAGTTGGTGGGTGAATGTACAAGAGACCTTTGAGCTGATGATCCTGGAAGAGGTCGGGGGATCGTGTTTTTCCTCAACAAAATCCCACCCATGGCGGCATAATACATGTATATGAATGTATATGGTAAGGATGTAACAGCATTTATTAAACATGGAATATTAACATGTACTATATCAACATGGAATATACAAAGTATTAAACATGGAATATTAACATGTACTATATCAACATACACGGGCCATACATTTCAACATGTATATATAATATATTGCAGCAATATATTATGATGATACGTAGTTACATACGGCCAAAAAATCTTTGAGCAAATATTAATTCAAAGTTCACAAATTAGTGAGTCAAAAAATCGATATAATAACAATTTGTCAGATTTGGGTTATAATATGGAATCTTACCATAATCTTATCATGTCTATTTCTGTAACCATTGACTCCCAAAATCTGCTCTAAGCCCTGCACAAATCAATTATGAGGTCGTTTAACAACACAATTTTTCGGTTTAACAGACTTATCAACTAACTTATTCACCAAACACGTAATTTTTGCTTTCGCGCGTTGAATTGTGTAATAAGCAGAAAAAAGTGAGGTTGAAGTTACTTTTCTGGCTGTATTGGCTAAAGTTATTGTAGATGGTCATTTGAGCTATTTTTACATATAATTTTTTCTTTATTTTATTTATAAAATACTTTTTAGAAATATTTTTTTTCTTAAATCAGCAGAATCAGCCAAAGCAACCGATTTTCGGGCTACCAAACGGGCTCTAAGTTTAAAAATTTGTCCAAAAAACAAAAAGACATTGCAGCAATTAAGTTTACAAATAATAATAATATTAGCAATAATAATAATGTAATGATATAATAATTTCGAAAAAGAAGCAGAATAATTAATTTATATATATGCCAAGAAATATGATATGTAGTATATTAAAAATAGTCATAACATATGAGAGAGAAATATGATACATAGTTTATTAAAAAAAAAAAGGTATAACATATGGAGCTCATTCCCGGTTTGCCATTCCTATTAACGTCAATGAAGACTCCACTTGCAATATAAAACAAGGAAACCATCTAGCGGAGCTAATAATCAAAGTGAAGCTTATCATATGGGATGAAGCTCCAATGACACGCAAACATTATTTTGAAGCTGTAGACAGCCAGACAGGACACTAAAAGAATTGCTTAGATCTCACAATCTTGATAGCTTGAAACTTCTGTTTAGAGGAAAAGTTGTCGTTTTTGGTGGTGATTTCAGACAAATACTCCAGTCATATCAAAGGCATCTAGCAAGAGGTTGTTCGTGCTACTATTAATGCCTCATATATTTGGAGATATTGTCACGTTCTCACTTTAACAAAAAACATGAGGTTGTAGTGTGGTTCTTTGCATTGTAATATTGAGGAATTGAAAAAATTCTCCGATTTGGTGCTGCAAATAAGAGATGGAAATATTGGGAATGTCAAAGATGGAGAGGTCGTCATTGATATACCAGATGATATGCTTATTACCACCTTAGGTGATCCTATTGCCTCAATTGTTGCTAGCACTTATCTGTCAATTCTAGAAAATATGGCCGATCCATCATATTTTCAGCAAAGAACTTTTTTGACACTCATAGATGATGTTGTAGAGCTTATAAATAATTATATGATTCCATTGATGCTTGGAGAATTGAGGACATATTTGAGTTTTGACAGCCCGTGCTCACTTGAAGGCAACATTGGCGCTGAATCTGATGAAGTGCATACTCAAGAGTTTCTAAACACCATCAATGCATCAGGGATACTGAACCATAAATTAGGACTAAAGGTTGGTGTTCCTATTATGTTAATGAGAAACATTGACCAGTCCTCTGTCTTATGCAACAAAACCCACCTGATTATTACTCGATTAGGTATATTTGTTTTGGAGGCTAAGGTTATAACCGGAAAAAGTATTGATCAAAAAGTTTTGATTCCTTGACTATCATTGGTCGCGTCGGATAGCAGAATTCCTTTCAAATTTCAGCTCAAGCAATTTCCAATAATTGTTTCATTTGCCATGACAATAAATAAAATTCAAAGACAGTCTCTTGATCAAGTAGGCATATATCTTCCAAAATCTGTCTTTACGCACGGTCAATTGTACGTGGTCATGTCAAGAGTTACCTCAAGAAGCGGGTTGAAGATTCTTATATGTGATTACGAGGGCCGCGGTATCAACCACGAATAATGTGGTATATAAAGAAGTTTTTAGAAATTTGTGAAACTTTTTTTTCATTGGCTACATATATATGATTGTTGCTCTATCTTATAAATTTTAATGAGACATAGAGCTCATTGATTTTTCACATAGAACTTATGTTTACTCATTATCATTTATTTTAATTTTCTTTTCATTTTTCCTACAACTACGACTATGCATATACTAAAACTTACAACACATAAACTCTACCTTTTTTGTCAAAACTAACACATAATGTACCATGGTAAAACATAATTTTAAACACGTTATCATCCAATTCTAGATATACTCCGTGCATCGCACGGTTACTTTGTCTAGTTCATTTTAATAAAGTAAGTTGAATAAAGATGATATATCAGACAAGCAAGAAAATCGTGCAAATTATATCCTACATTCGGTTGTAGGGCATAATAAATACAAAATGTCTATTGGAGGGCATAATAAAAGACTGCATGCATTGGAGGGCATAATAAATACACAATGTCTATTATTAATGAGGTGGCGTTTTTTTCTTAGACTAAACAGTGCACATTGGGGATGCTCTTAGAGCATCCACAATGGGTGAATGTCTAGTCTAAATAAATGGTGCCACCTCATGAAATTAGATATTGTGTGTTCATTTTCATCTCCAATGTAGTCTATGTGCTGAGTTGGCTAAAAAATTAAAACGGTGTCCAGCAAACTTTTTAAGTGTAGACATGCATATTAACTTGCTGACTCAACCACAACAGTAGGAAAAGGCAGGACTCTCTTCGGAAAGAACGGAAATATGAAAACTTCTCACCCCAATTTCGACAACAAACACCATATCTTTCTCAGATCTAATATGTAAAAATTAAAGTCAGTAATTTTTTATTTGAGTTATAGATCCGGTGTTTCTGGGTTTAACCATGATCCATTCACTGTATCTATGTGCATATATATACATATACAAACTAATACACACGTTCCTACTATATCTGTTCACTGTATCTCTGTTCATACACACACACACATATATTTTATACAAACATGCAATGAGAATACCAATAAATGGATGGATTGAAATTGAACTAAATTTTGATCTCCTCTTTGTCTAGCTCCTTCTGAATGTTATACGAAGTAGGAGAAAAATAATTTGAAAACAAAATCTGTGAAATTCGTTTTCAGAAAATAGACACTTGACTTGAGCAGTTAGACTTTATGCATTGGAAGTCTTTTACGTATTTTAATATCTAGTCACCTCACATGGTATTATATGGATTAGAAAGCCATTTATTTATTTGACATTTGTCACTTTTTTAAGACTAGACATCCACCAATTGTGGATGCTCTAATGCATCTGTCATTAGTGAGTACTGCAATCAAGCCTTGCACTTTTAGTTAGACTTGAGGTGAGTATTATATTTATAACATGTGTAGAATCCACAATCAAGCCTTGCACTTTTATTAGCTACTAGTATATTAATTCGGGACCAAATAAAATTAAACGAAACTAAAAATACTGGAAAAACAATCCAGAACTTCATTAATGGATAAACATAAAATATTGGGAAAACTATCAAATAAGCCCTCGTACTATGCCGAAAAAGTCGATTAGGCTCTCGTACCACTCAATTAAGTCCTCGAACTATTAAAAAACGTTCAATTAAGCCCTTTTGGTCGGTAAGTAACCGATTTCCCGGTGAAACGGCGACGACGGCGACGATGTGCTCGAACTCCAGCAACGGCGGCTGCCGGGAAACGGGTTACATTTAACCGGGAAACCGGTTACTTACCGACCGAAAGGGCTTAATTGAACGTTTTTTAAAAGTTCAAGGACTTAATTGAGTGTTTGTAAAGTGCGAGGGCCTAATCGACTTTTTCGGTATAGTACAGGGGCTTATTTGATAGTTTTCCCTAAAATATTCAAGTACATATGACATACTCTGACGGTTTACGACACATATAGGATCTGGACCTCGTCTGGTCCAAGACCTTTGCGAGAAGGAAAGGGAATGTGATTATGTTGCTATTTTGTGAACTAGTGATGATTTGAGTAATACATCCAAATCCCCCACCCTAGGCAAGGACGCTGACCTATGGAGCCGTCGTGCTTTAATGTGGAAAAACCGAAAAACGAAATAAGCATATTCTAACTAGGAACCTATAGTGCCTTATATAGACCATCAAAAGGAATGTCATCTATCAAGGAATAGATTCCTAATAACAGGAAAGAATGACTATCATAATAAACAAGTCCCTAACTTAGCCACCAGTTAAAGCTTCCTGATTCAGCCACTGTTTCACATGTCCGGCTATCTGGAGCCGCAGATAGATGAAGTCCATAAAATAGCTGTTATTAGGTCTGTAAGAGAAACACTCCTTGTGCATGACCCAAATCGCGTGGATGATAAGAATATGCAACTCTTGGATAGGTATAGAAGAAGCTATGTACCTCTATTTTGCAGGCACCCAACATGAGCTAGCACACAGAACCCGCCCCTTCCACCCCTGTACCATCCAGTCACCATCTTCATCAAGAAGAAACTGTTTGTGGTAACCAGCCTTCAACTTTTTTTTCAACTCAGCCATCAGTCCCGGGTTCAAGGGAAGAAGCTTAAACCCAGCTCTACTGTTCCTCCACTGCCACTGCTTGTATGTCTCAGGCCTCACAACCCTCTCTGTGCCCTCACATCCAATCACATTCAACGCCTCCCGCCCAAAGTGATCATCCTCAAATTGAAGCCTCTGCGGATCATCACGGGGTAATAGAGTGTCAAAAATATCAAAAAATGAAGAGTAGTGGTAGAGAGCGTCACGGAACCTAGAAGCAAAAAATGGAGAACCGTATGATCCATTGACAACAGCTTGCACAAAAATACTAGGGTTGACTTTCCGGATTAGCCTTAGGACTGCGTCACGAGGACTCTCCCCCATCACCTCAATCTCATCAAAAACGTCTTTAAACCGAAATGAGCAGTTCACAGCAACAATCTCCTCACCTCTTCTTGCAAGCTTCAAATCTTTGATTTTAATTGTCTCCCAATTCCGAGTCGCTATAGCATTGTACTCAAATAGAACACCAAAGCGCTCGCAATACTTTGCCAGGCGGCGTCCAGTCTCTTCTATCAATTCGGAAGGCCTAAAACCAGGTTTTGGATAATCAATTCCAGTAAAGCGAAGTTTAGGAGGCCCACCAGGCCTGTTTGAAAGATGTTGGAGAAGGATGGGCCACTGGAAACCATAATGAATGCCGAAATCTATGATGTGTAGTGTTTTAGCTTTGGATGACGCCATGTAAATCATCTTATTTGCAAAGTCTATTGCAATCTTCTTGAAAGGGCATGTTGACATGTAGACCTGGTATGCTTTTAACTTATCAAAAGCAGTGATTCCCTTAGGGGCTCCGGATCTATAAAGCTCGGTCCCTGTGCCGGTCAAACGCACCTCGAGACCGCGTGCTAAAAAGTATGCTAGCCTCTGGTCAGCATCACCGTTGGGTGAGCAGTGAAGCCAAATCTGTTTTAGTTGTTCGTTTGCAGACTTGCGATCATTAATAGCAACTGATTGTGCACAGCTCATTAAAAGAGTCTGCAGATCTACAGCTTCCGTTGTTGTATCTTCCTCCTCCTGCTGTTGTTGTTGCTGCATCCTTGCACGCCTTTTCCCGTCACAGTGTGGCATACCTTTCCCAACTATTTCAGGCTGACTTTCCTTCACGCGACTTGGAAATTTAGGATCAGACAGCAAAACCTGATCAAACGCCTCCGATAACTCCTCCTCCACATAAACTGCAGATTGCTTGCTGCTCCTTTCATCTTCAAACCTGTTTTCGTCCGGATGCTGATGCTTCTTTCCTCTAGAAGTATTATTGGGTGAAATGTCGAGGTCAGTAAAAAAAATATTAGCAGCAGGGAGAAATTTATTTGCTTCTTCCATTCCTCTCTTGAACAGCAGTACAGCCTCCGAGTCACTAAACATGTTTCCATGGTCATCAGCATTTAGCACTTGGATATTGTTCGTATTTAAAGAAAAATTTGAGCTCTCAGATGATTCAGAAGGATCAACAGTCCACTGAGCCGGGTCAGAAGTATTGCTAGAAGGGGGAGGGTCCTTAGAGAAGGACTCATCAGCGTCTTTAAGAGCAATTGCATCATGGAACATACAAGGTTTCTCATTGATGTTTTCCTCCAGTAGTATCTGGTTGAGGTACTTGGCGACAGGGTCATCACCATTTGGTGAGTATAACTCTCCAGGTAGAGAAGAGAAAAGGTTGGAAGGGGGTGTGGCAGTCAAATGGTTATTCATGAAATCCAGAGAAGCTAAAAAGCAATTGTTAGGGGTATCATCAGATAGCTGAAAGCTGCTAGAAAAGAAGAATCCATCTTCCAGACGTGATGTTTTTACAGAGTCGGGCAACCCACTGAACGGAGGATCCATAAACAATACTTCATATAATACAGAGTATGTATGTGAGAAGATAGAACCTGCAGTTAAAAACTGTTATTGGATCTCTTTTTTTTGCGAAATGTTATTGAATCTGATAACAGTTTCAAAACAAAGAACATCCCCACCTCTATGATATCGTTATTAACAAATAAAATTGCCAAATATTAAACAGGACTAAATCTGCATCTACTCTTCATATTATAGGTGCATTCTTCTTTAGAACAGGACTAAACCTCCAGAATCTCTTCATTATATATAATCATTCATATCGAGTTTAGAGCAATCATGTCACTTGAGTTTGGTCTTATAAGCACGTAATTATATACTCAAAAAAGATTTCATTCCTTCGGCAAATAGCACATCTGAAGTCTGAACATGTAAGTCACGTGGACTATACATATCCCAACCAATTGTTCTAATTCTTAAATATTTATATATTCTAGCAATTAACGTATGATCTAGGCCTATCACCACGGCCCACCACAGCACCCACTGCAATCACCCATTACAACTGACCACTTACGCCGCCAACAACAAACAATGCCGCAGCCCCCGTCAGCAACATCAACTAAGTGTAAACCCAACCATCATAATAATAGCTGGCTACTGGCCTACTGCCGTAAACATGAGTTAGGAATTATGTAGCACTTCACTGAACCTTTAATGTATTTGATAGACCTTGCTTCAAAAGTGAAGTAGAGGGACCCACATTTATAGTATATATCGTTTTCCATCTACTAAAAACATTGTTCTAAAAATTGGCCTAGTCAGACCGATTAATCGGCCTAGTCGGCCCTAACTGTAGAGGCCTAGTCGGTAAAAAAATCGGCCTAATCGGCCGCCTAGACGCCCCTCAACCGCCGGATTAGCACCTAGGGAGTTTTAGAACAATGATTAAATATATATATAAATCAATACTTAGATGTGTGTATTTTTATGAATTAATTATTTTTATGTAAAAATATTACTGAGTCAATTTTTTTTTGTCCCGATGGTTCACCCTTTCGGGCGGGCAAATGTCGGGGAACATTTGCCTGAATTTATTATAAATGAGTAAAATTTAAACAGAGCGTTGGTGAGTCCCAAACAGAAAAGAGAGCCTCGGTTCGAAAAATAAACAAACGAGGTGATGGCCCAAGTGGTACTGAGTCAATAATATACCTACAAATTTCTTAGTTCTTGCTAGTTGTTAAACTGAAGCAAATTTCTTATGACAATAAATCAATACTAAACTAATTGACAATCACATATTTAATCAGTTCATACAAATAGTAAATTTCTTTTTCAATTGTAATTACAAAATCATACAAAGAATAAACAAATTCAGTAATTCATATATATGCAGAAAAGTATAAAACTCAACATAAAACTAGTGCACACATGAGGTAGGGTGATCTTGTGGGACTTTTTTAAAATTGTTGGTCGAGCTAGTGTACTTAAGTCCAGGTATATTAAGACCTCAATTGATGAGAGCCCTTGTTCTTAAGAACAGGTTTCACCTGTTATAAGCCGGTCTGGTACTTCAAAGACATCTTTTTCAAATCTGAGATAATAAAAAACAAAAACAAAATAAGAGAATCAAAAGTAGAAAACAGTAAAGGGGAGGACAATCACAGGCTGGTCCTTCCTATCCTAGTCAAGAATGAAAATATCCATAGCTTCAATTGTAAGGAAGATCACAGTCATGGAGAAAACAAATAATTTTAATAATACATTGGAATGGAATTTCAATAAATCAAGACAAGCAACGTTGGGCAGTCAATCAGTGAATGACTGGGAAATTTTTCGAAATTTTGTTCCAGAGGGCAGAGAAAGTAAGAGTTCAGACGCGTACCTTGAAGAACAGAGATGCTTCGGTGACGGGGTGTACGAACGTGAAGGTGAATTTAAATGAGATTTTTCAATTTTAAAAAACATGCCAATGGTTGAAAACCCAGATTTTTTACTCTTTCTTATTTTTATTTCATTTTCCTTTGTTATATAAGATTTTCAAAGAAAAAGTAAAAAATCTCGTGTAGTAGGACATTAATAGGTCAAGGTCCAACGAAAGAAACTGTGAAACAAAAGTGAGATTTTTCAGGGATTACGTAAAGTTTGAATTAGTATGAGAAGACTAATCAAAGGTGAGATTATTCTTGTCATTTTTTCCTTATTTTTTTGATGATTTTTTATTACTTTTTCCTCGCAATAGTTCATAGTAATATGTATAAAAAATTAGAGCATTTTTCAAAAATATTACTACAATAACTTTTCATACACAAACATGATTAATAGTTAATGCAATTTAGTGTCATGGTAGTCTAAGTTTAAAAACTAAACAAAAGTTATTATGATTTCGCTATTATTCTAGTCATTATTCACATTTTTGTAAACAATCTTTATTTTAATCATAAGTATGTAATTATTTCATAAAAAAATATTAATATTGAAAATATTAAAAATATCTTTTAAAATCATAAATCAATGTTTTATGTGAAAAGAAGGGTTTCCTAAAATATTACTAAAAAAATATATGGACAAAAATATATGAGTAAGTTTTATACTCCGTAGTTGCTATAATGCATCATTTAAATACAATTATAGTCATTGAAGTTATTAGAGTCATGTTTTCCACTACTTTTATTTTGATTACATGTTTGAAATTATTTCTTGTAATAAAGTAATGTTTTACATCTTAAATCGATGTCTGTTCCAAAAAAAATTAAATCGATGTTTTCAATGGGGTTGAACGTCAATACTTTCTCTTTCAGTTCTCTAATTGACATTTGACTAATATTTCACTTTTTAGATTGGTTTTTTTTCTTCTATGACTAAGGTTATGTTTGGATGACCGTTTAGCTCAAAATGAGATGCTACTTTATAGATTTAAATTATTAATTGAAATGTAGAGTCCGTTTGGTAGCATGAAAATTGGCTGATTTGCCTAATTTTTACTGAAATTTATGAAGTTCTGGCTGAAATGACCACATTGGCTAATTCTGTTTTGGCTATTCTGCTTTAATTTAGCATGATAAGCCCGTTTTCAGACTTTATTTTCTTTAAATCAGACAATATGCTTTAATTTTAGCTAGTTTTTTCAAGGGAAAAAGTACAGAAAAGGTACATGTGGTTTGGGCCGTTTTCTGATAAGGGCACGTGTTTCATTTTTTAACAAAGTGGGACATGTGTTTTAATTCCGTTATCACAGCAGGGGCTTGACATCTAACACCATTACAGAATATAACCCCGGTTTTCAAAAGTTCCCGAAACATTAAAAGAAAAATACTGGGAGGTGCGCCTCATCAAGGATACCAACAAGCTATCTTTCTTTTTTTTGTTTCCAGCCACCATGTCGCCAAAAAATCCGCCAGAAAAGTGATATTAACAAATTCTTTTTTAAAAATTAATCCAAGTAGAGCCGAAAAATTCAAATAGAACGATAATTTGTTGGTCTCCTTGACGAGGCACACCTCCCAGTATTTTTCTTTTAATATTTCGGAGACTTTTGAAAATCATAGTTAAATTTTCGAACGGCGTTAAACGTTATGCCCCTGCTGTGATAACATAATTGAAGCACATGTCCCACTTTGTTAAAAAATGAAACATGTGCCCCTATCTGAAAACGGTCCAAACCACATGTACCCTTTTTGTACTTTTCCCTTTTTCAATCTCAACCTTTGGCTAGATAGAGTCAATGAGTCATAGAGATTTGTCGAGTATATTAGGAAATACACTAGTATGTTATACGTATCTAATTTTATTTAGAGAAATCGATCAAATAAGCCTTCGTACTATTATCATTATCACAAAATCAATTGAGTCCTCTTACTATTAAATCACTCAATCAGCCCCTCCAAGACTAAAAAAAATTCAATAAGGCTTTTTAGCCGGTTGCTTATAAGTTAGGGAATTTCTACGGTGCCTTGAAACAATATTGATGTACCGGTACATTAACCTCCATAGCCAATCAGATTCTATTCTGAAGCCATGTTATATCCTAGTCATTAATATAATACGGAGTAAGTTTTATTATTTGCACCATACTTCCTGATAAATAACTTCCATATTTCAACGTTTGTTAACTGCTCCGTCACTCCCGTCAGTTCCCTGCAATCTCTATTCTACGACAAAAGAAAAACATGAAATCAGGATCCAATCAAACACCTACGTGACGCAATGGATGACAACCATTTTTAAAAATTGAAGGATTCACAAGTCAACCATCGTTTGTCAATCAAACACCTACGTGACTTGTTCATAACAATAAAGATTTCCATCGTTTCTCTGTAAAAAAGATTAGAAGATGGAGCTACAACCCATAACAATAAAGATGCTTGTCATACTTTCTGTGGCCGGAGCCTAGTTCACAGATTGAAAGCACCGAAGCACACAAAACAGGCGGAGTGATTTTTGTGTGGAACTGACGGAAGTAACGTGTGTAATGGAGCATCCAATCGTTAGCAAACTTTAAATATTTTATTTATTTTTTAGCGCCTAAACTGCAAATAATAAAATTTAGTTTAGTAATATGAGTAGATCCTAACGTGGCTTCCTACTCTAATGTGATTGGCCAAAATGTTAATGCGCCTAAACAATAGTTAATGGCCATAATTATACCGTGGGATCGGCCCACCATGCGCATGGTGTGCCGATCCCAAAACGAGGCCGTTTTATATTAATTAAAACAGAGCCGACAAAATTCACCGTCTTCTCCAGCCGTCCAGCGTGTGCTTCGTCCCTGCGGCCAAAAATTTAATTCCTTTGCTGATACGAAGCTTCCTTGTTGAACCTCCCTACCTGCTGAATCGAATTTGTAATGCTTCGTGCATATGAGACTAAAGACAATTATGTAGCAAACTCTAATTCAAACCAGTGAATGCATAATTTAACACAAGCTGTTAGCAAAGAAGATAGCTCGTCCATCTTTGGCCGTACTTGTCTTGCCGGCGACGCAGTATTCCCTTACGGTGGATTGAAGGACTTTGATAATATACATTCCAGAGTATAAGTTACATAATTTTATGCTTGAGTTACATTATTTTATTTGCGAGTTACATCTTCTGAAACGCAAGTTACATTTGTCATCAACGCGAGTTACATTTGTTATAACATGAGTTACATAAAAAATAACTCACTGTTATTGAAACAAAAAAAAAGTTTTTTTTTTAAATTATTGTGATGGTCATGATATTAAAAACAAAACATATTCACGATTTACGTAAAGTAATTGTGTAGTTAGACTCTTTTTTCATTGTTTGCATTGAAATCAATGTTTTATTTCTTATAGTATGTATTTGATAAGTTACATTTCGAATAGACTTGAGTTACATTGATCAATAACGTAAGTTACATATCTTTACACGCGAGTTACATCATTCATACTATCGGGACAAAAAACAGTTACTGAATACGCGTGTATTGTTCACGCGTTACTGTTCACGCGATTTTTTTTAAAAATTGTGCAAGACTGCGTCGTTTTGGATGTGGGAGCACGGTGCTCACCGTGGGGTGATACCACGGTATACGAACTGGTTGCTGCTCTATGTGGATTAATTTTTTCTTTATTTTGGTCAACCGACTTTTGCATCAACTCTTCCTTTATTTTGGTCAAAATAAAAACTTTTGGCACTATTCATCTTTCTCCTGCATTTCGTCTCACCATCTGATCCCTTAGACAGCGTCCACACTCTCCATCACTCTCCAACCCGACTATTTAAGACTTTCCAAGGCGGCGGCACACTTTACACAGCCCTTCCGTTTATAACCGTCTCCGCCGCCTCTATCTTCAGCAGCCCCACCGTGGGTGGCCCCACCACGGGCTTCTGAACCGATGCCACGGCGTTATAGATCATCCCCTCCATTTTCAAGTCTCCAATTGCCCAGCGGCGAGATTGGAATCGATGACGAATGGGCAGGGAGTTCTGTGTATAAATTAGGACCAACCGGAGGAGCTAAGAGTGAAATAATAGCCTAATACTCCCTCCGTCCCATAATTATCTTCATTCTTTCCTTTTTGGTCCGTCCCAAATTTATCTCCTCTTTCCCTTTTTAGCAAAGGATTGGTGGTTTACAACCATTCTTACACATTTCTCTCTCCTCTGCACAACTCTCCACCACACATTTCCCACTTTCTTAATCTCCGTGCCCAGTCAAAACCGAAGTTAATTCTGGGACGGAGGGAGTATTAAATTAGGAATTCTATGTATCTTTGGAAACTCTTTTTAGTATAAATATATCTGCCAGGTACCCTAATGGGTAGCCTTTCCCATTATTTCACATGGTATCAAGAGTCAAAAAATTTTCTCTCTCTCTTCCCTAAACCCTCGTCGTCCTTCCTTTACTATGCATTCGGCCGCAACCTTCTCTTCCGCCGAAGGTTCTTCTTCCTCCTCTGCAATTTCTTCCTCTTCCATGGAAGGTTTCACCGCTACTTCTGCCTCGACTACGGCGCCGGTTTCTGCCTCTTTTACTGACGCGACCGTTGTCATCACCAGCGCCCCTGTCACCATGACCGAGCCGCAGCCGGTGATCACTCCTCAACCGGGATCATCTGTGCAAACTGCCGCTTCTTCCTTTGCTGCTGATGGTACGTGTTCTCTGTTTCAGACCATCCCTCCAGCATTCCCATGGCAGCCCACTGCCATACCCGACAGTCTTTTCTCATACCCGGTGTCTTCTGCCACACAACGGCCACAACCCAGCCCTGGCTATTTTGGGTCAACGTTTTCCGGTACTCCTGGGATATCTCGGCCGACTGACCACTCCCTTTTTCAGTCCCCAATGGCAGCTATTTCTCACTCAATTTCACCGGCCAACAACGTCACTCAAATTGTTACTATAAAGCTTAAGGGCGTGGAAGACTACATCACCTGGCGCACTCAATTTGAATCTTTTCTCGTCTCTCAAGGTGTGTTTGGCTTCTTGGATGCTTCCACACAGGTACCTTCCATGTACACGGTTGATT